TACACTGATAGAAGAATTTATTTGTATTAAAAAATATTAGTTTATAGTTAACAAATCATTTATTAAAGGCCACTTTTTAGTATTAAACAAATATTTCTTAGCATTTAATTAAAATGATTTGTTTGTATTTAATAAATCTGATATTGATTTATTAAATACTAATAAATCTTTTTAAATACCAAGAAATATTTATTAAGGACTAAAAAGTGGTCTCTAATAAATGATTTGTTAAATATTAACAAATATTTTTAACTATAAACAAATCCTTCTATCAGTGTAATTAAATAATCCGCGTACGGAGTAAATCCGGATTTTTTTTTCAGCCATCAAGTGGCTGATTTTTCATTCATCAAGTGGATTTGGATTTTAATCCAAATAACATCCGAGTTTAGAGTTCTTATACTAAAGTCAATTTTTATTCAACTAAAACAAATTTTAAAAGCCAAATTATTTTTTTATCGTAAATATAAAATAAATTTGACTTGAAAAAAAAAATTTTTTTTATTTGATTAAAAAAGTTTTTTAAATTCGAATTTTGACAGAAGTTACAAAAAAACAATTTTAAAATTTGAATTTTTTACAGTGTATTATTTTTATTATTATTATTATTATTATTATTATTTCATTTTTTATTATTCATTGTTATTTAGATTAGTGAAAATGATTGAAAATACATGGACGCAAGTTTATCTTTTTGAAATTTTACTCTTAACTCCCATAGTCGCTTTAGTGATGTACTTCGGACTTTTGGTAAGTAAATTTAAATAAAAAATCATTTATAATTTATCGATTGAAAATTATCCAGGCGATTGATGCGGGTGAAAAAGTGGCATTCATATCTCTGTGTACTTATGTCTGTGCAGCAATGTCATGTTTATTTGCTAATTGTTTAATGGGAGAAATGTTGAAAATTGAAGCAAGTACTAATTATTTATTTTTTTTTAATTGAAATAAAAAAAAAATTATTTTAAACTCTATTAATTTTGAATAAAGTGTGATCGTCTTCTGGAGGCTTATTACCAGTGCAATTGGTACGTCATGCCAATGAAGTACCGGGAAATTGTTTTAATTTGTATGATTTACACGCAGAACCCTTTTAAAATAACAGCTGGTAAAATTTATGAGTTTTCGTTCAACGCCTTCGCTGGGATCGTCAAAAATTCATTGGCTTACGTTTCTATTCTACGAACGCTTTTGGTGTAAATAATTGGTGTAGAAGATCATTATTATTATTATTATAATCATTTGATTGTTAACACACGTGTATATTTATAGGATTAAACCAACAATGTCGTTAATAATTAATAATTTTTTTTTTTTTAATAGCTTACAGTATTTCTTTTTAATAGCTTAATTTTTTGGTTTCTGCTTTTTTTAACGAGTTTAATTTCTCAAAAAATTGAAAAAAAAAAAAAATAAAAAAATTAGCAACTAGAATCAAAATAATTAAAAAAATTAATTTTGTATAAATATTGAAATGAAAAATAATTATTTAAACAAAAGTAAAATTTCAATTATAAAATTTCAAAATTTTATAAGATTAATTATGAAATAATATTTTATTTAATTTCCAAAAATTTGATTATTTTTCTAATTGATAAAATTGTACCTTATCGTCCTCTTACGAGTCTTCTATTTGTACTATAAGACTGACACTAAAACTGCTGACAGACAACCACATACCAAAACGCATAAAAAAATGTATACCAGAAAACACAATGCACAAGTAAGAATAATAGAACTGACTCTGTTGAGCTTGCAGTAATAACTGACCAGCGATCTCTATAAGAAATATTCCGACCCAAGAGGATAATTAAAAATTAATATAAAAACACAATCAATACTTGAATGCATTGTCATAAACGCATTACTCAAGCACGCATATCATGAAGAAATAATGATGCGAATATTTTATTAATTTTTCGACAAAAGTTTCAAACTTGAACTTTATTCTTTGTTAGTTCACCATCAGTAGTTTTATTGACGTATCATCGCAGATTATTGTGAAATAAACCATCACCATGGATTCAGAAATCGAGGTGAGGAAAAATGAACTTAAATTTAACCAAGTTATTAAATGTACGGTGTCTATTTTTATCAGTAATAAGCAATAAGCTGATAATTTATTACTAAGAAATTTTACCTTGATAAATAAGCGACTGATACCGTTATTAAATACTTCACTGAAAAAAAAATAATAAATTTGATTTAAGAAAAAAGTTCTAATCCAAGAAAATCATTTCGACTTTAATCTAGTTAATCTAATTAGAAAAATTTTTGAATCAAGTAAAATTCTTAAAAATGATTTTTTTGATGCAAAATAATTTCTCTTGGATCAAGATAATTTTTTTTTTCATTGTACTGATAAATATTTTTACACAGAAACAATTGAAGGAAGCTAAATCTCTGCTGGGAAAAGTGTCTTGGTTAATGAGTTTATTAGGAATTTGGCCGGTTGAAAAAACGCGCTTTCAACGGATAAAGTTCAAAGTTTACGTGGCTTATGTAACTCTTCATCTCGCGATGACAGTTAATAATTTAGTCGCTAATTTTAGCAACGTAAAACTAGTAACTATTATTATTCAACAACTGATGGGTATCGGTATGACATTCAACCGCTTATTATTTATCAATTACTCCTCTAATGTCAGTGAAATAATAAAAACCACCAAAGAAGAAATTGCATATGCAGCTTTGACCGATATTACTGAAAAAAAAATTTTTATTAAGCTTCACAAAGCAGCTTCACTCTACTATCATATTACTATCAAGTTCATGGTTTTTACATCATTATATTATTACTCGCTGCCTCTGTATAGGCTCATTTCTGCTTGTGAGTAAAAAATTTTCCTTTTTAAATTTTATTTATTTAATACTAGAGCGATAATTATCAATCTTTTTAAAGGGTTTGCGGATGAACCGCTAGTGCTGATACTGCCGTACAAGATAAAAGTATTTTTCTTCAACAGTTCATCCCTTAAAAGAACCTTCTTTTTACACATTTACGAACTTCCCGCGTTATTCATGCAACCAAACTTCTGCGCTTCGGTAAATATGCAAGTGATAATTGTCATGAACCTCGCGGCGCAAATGGCAATACTTGGGCAAAGAATTAAAAATTTGGATTTAAAAGAATATTCTAAGGCGTCAAATGTGATGGTTCAAAAAATAGTTATCAGACACATGGAATTGACCAAGTAAGTCTTTTAAAAATATAATTTTTTAACCCGTTTTAGTAATTGAAAAACCCAAAAGTACACAGTAAAAAATTTTGCGTCCTTGCGTCAAAAAACTTAGTGTTAAATATTTAACACTTTTATGTGTAAATTTAACACTTATAATGTTAAATCAATATCATATTACTATCAAGTTCATGGTTTTTACATCATTATATTATTACTCGCTGCCTCTGTATAGGCTCATTTCTGCTTGTGAGTAAAAAATTTTCCTTTTTAAATTTTATTTATTTAATACTAGAGCGATAATTATCAATCTTTTTAAAGGGTTTGCGGATGAACCGCTAGTGCTGATACTGCCGTACAAGATAAAAGTATTTTTCTTCAACAGTTCATCCCTTAAAAGAACCTTCTTTTTACACATTTACGAACTTCCCGCGTTATTCATGCAACCAAACTTCTGCGCTTCGGTAAATATGCAAGTGATAATTGTCATGAACCTCGCGGCGCAAATGGCAATACTTGGGCAAAGAATTAAAAATTTGGATTTAAAAGAATATTCTAAGGCGTCAAATGTGATGGTTCAAAAAATAGTTATCAGACACATGGAATTGACCAAGTAAGTCTTTTAAAAATATAATTTTTTAACCCGTTTTAGTAATTGAAAAACCCAAAAGTACACAGTAAAAAATTTTGCGTCCTTGCGTCAAAAAACTTAGTGTTAAATATTTAACACTTTTATGTGTAAATTTAACACTTATAATGTTAAATCAACACAAATATGTGTTAAATATTTAACATAAAAATTTTTAACACAAAATTTTTTGACGCAATGACGCAAAATTTTTTACTGTATACACTGAAAAAAAAAAATTCTTGACTGGAGAGTAAATTTTCTTGGCTTAAGATAATATTAAGGAAGGTTGGAAATTTTTTTGAATGAAGTCAAAGTTTCTTGAGCCAAGAAAAATTTTTTTGCTCCAAAATAATTTTCGTTTTCCTTAAAATTTTCTTGGCGCAAGAAATTTGATTTTTGTGTATTAATTTACTAAATAGCCTTAATTTAAATTATTTATTTTCCAGATTGGCTAAGAAAATTGAAAATACTTGGACACCTATTTATTGCATAGAGCTTGGATTTTACATGCCTCTCACATCATTGGTTATTTACAATGCTATGAATGTGAGTTTTTTGTCATCACAATAGAGAAAAGAAAGCAAAATTTTTTAGAAACAATTTATTCATTTGTTGAATATAAATAAGTATTTATTAACTATTAATAAATGATTTATTAGTTGAATTTATCAATAAATAATTTTTTAAAGCTCATTAAATATTAACAAATCTTTGTATCAGTGTGAATTAATAAAAAATTACTAATTAATAGTTAATAGTTACTTTTTAAAAATTTTTCAAGTATACTAGCAGTAATAAGTATAGTTATAAAGCTTTTCAATGGTCAAATTTTGAATTAGTTGATTATTAATTAACTAATAAAAAGTTACTTTTCAAATAATTAAAAAAAAAAAAAAAAAAAAATTCAACTAAGAGTAAAGTCTACAGACTTATAAAATTTTGAACAAATTTATTTAAAAACTAATAATTATTTCACTAAGTAAAATTTTTACTGATTTTAAGATAGAGATAAAATATTTGAAAATTTTTTTTTATAAGAAAATCTTTATTTCGTTAGAATATATTTTTGAATGACTAACATGAAAAAAATTTTAATCAAACATTAGATGTTTAATAACAATCAAAAATTATTGGCCGTGCCTTACTACATCTATATCATCGTAACGTTATCAAGTCTTTTTGGACACTGTCTCATGGGAGAGTTAGTGAAAACCCAAGTTTGTATACCAAAAAAATAACTAATTTTTGAATTTTAAAAAATAACTCATTTTTTAAACTTTGTCAATGAAAAGAGCGAAAACCTTTTGGACGCCTACTACAATTCCAATTGGTGCGAAATGCCGATAAAATACAAAAAAAGTATTCTGATTTGTATGACTTACACCAAAATTGCGCTAAATATAACCGCTGGTAAATTTTTCGTGTACTCGTTGAGCGCATTCACAGGCGTGAGTATATTTTTTAATTATTATTATTGTAATTACAATTATTTTTTTTTTTATTAGATCCTGAAGTCAATTATGGCATATGTGTCTCTTTTACGAGAAGTAATGTAATCGAGAATATTCGACATTGTTGACTGTTTTTATAAACACTTTGGAAAAACCTGCAGTAGGCAATACAGTAGCATTTTTTTTTGATTAGTCAAAAATGGAAATAGAATTTTTCATAAAAAAAATATTCAATTGTTTCTAGAGAATAATTTTGAAAATTAATCCACATTTTTTCTTTAAAAAATTTATGTGGAAAATTTTTTATATGAGATTTAATAAAATTAATCACAACTATAAGTGTTTTATTTTTTAAATAAAAATTTTTTTGAACACATAAACATTAAATTAATTTTTTTTTTTAAAGAAAATAATGCACAGATTTTTTTCAATTTTTTTTTTAACCCATTTATATTTTGTTTAAAAAATTATAAGCTATTTTTTCACATTTGCGTTGAAGTTAAATTTTAACGATTCAAAATTTTTATAATTTTTTTTTTTTTAATTATCCCATTGCACAAAATTCTATTCAAGTAATTATACTAAAAATTGCTGTAAAATTTTTAATTTATCGAAGATATATGATTAGAGTGAATGATATAAAGTTACTAAATATCTGTTTGCGACAGTAATTTCCCGAACCCCCTGAAAGTCCGAGCGAATCGCGCGCATGTGGGAACAAATTTTATTATTCATGCAATAATAGTAAAGATAAAGGAAAACTTACGGAAAGTTTGATATATTATTTATGAAATGAATTTGATCCCCTCTTGATCGTGATAAGTTTGCAAGCAATGGTCAGTTGTAGTCTTCCTGCTTTCCTGGAACAATTGTCTGAAAAAAAACAAACATTAAGAGTTATGAACACAGATGTTGAGGTAATCTTGTCTTAAATTAATACTATTTGTTAAATGAATAATAAAAATAAATTTTAAATTGATGTTTTAGAAAAAATTCGAGCAAACTAAATTTATGTTTGACAAAGTCAAGTGGATCATAGAATTTTTAAACGCATGGCCAATCAATCCGACTAAAAAAAAATTAATATTTTTTTTATTATATTTAATTCATGAGAATGTTTATCTCGCAATGGCTTATTACGATTTATTTTCAATATTTGGCGATCTCCAGCTAATGTCTACTAATCTGATAGGGACACTGGTGCAAATGATAATGATGATCCGGTTGATATTTGTTAAGTTTTCGTCAAGACTTAGAAATGTTATTGTTGAGATTAAAGCAGATGTTTGCGATGAAAATTATCAGAGAACTGATGAAAAAATAATTTACATTAAATATAGCGAAATGGCGACTAATTTTTATAAAATTACAATGGGATTTGGTACTGGCGCTGGATTGAGTTTTTATATTTTGCCTGCCCAGAATTATTTTATAGCATGTAATTTTTTTTTTTTTTGTTAATCATTTATGTTGACAACTGAAGTGAATTTTTTTTTATTCTTGACATAAAATTTTTTCAAAATTTCAATTTATTGAAACAAAAAAAAAAATTCTTTCAAAATTAAAATTTTTTTAAACCGATAAAAAATTTCTTTCAAAATTTCAGTTTTTTTAAACATAAAAAATAATTTTTTTCAAAATTTGATTTTTTTTCTGACATAAAATTTTAAATACCTTTTATATTTCCTGTTTTTTATTCATACAAATAATAATAAATAAAATTCTACCGTCCTCTAAATTGAACAAATTTTTTTTTCTAAAATTAAATTCTTTTAATGATAATTTGATAATTATGATACAAATATGTGAAAAATTTTTACTTAAATAAATTTCAAATAGATTTTTATTTTTTAACTATCATTATTTTTAAATAAATTTAGATAATGTGTTTAGTGAAAAAATTCTCAAGACATGTAAAATAAATATTTTCAAAAATACCTACATAGAAAGTAGATTAATATTTTTTAATACACAGTAGTCATCACTATCAGCAGTAATTATAACAGTTGATAATAATAATTAATATAAAACTGAGATAATAATAGTTATCATCCCCGATTTTAATCAATAGTTTCAATGTGAAGAATAATTAAATTATTATCTAAAATGATAATCATTAAAAATGAACGATAGTGATTACTACCATAAATTTCTGAGTGTGTATCAGAATTATCTTCAGTTGTAAACATTATTCTGAGTTACTAAATTTAATCAAATTGTAAAAATACAATTAAATTATAAAATTTTTAAAAAAGGGCTTTTGCATCAACCGGCACCTCTAGAGCTTCCTTACAGAGCAAAATTATTTAACACGAATGAGACGACTCTTAAGCAATCAATTTTCCTTTATATTTATCAAGCACCGATGCCTATTACCGCATTATGTTACTTTGCGACTGTTAACATGCAATTTATAATAATATCAAACATATGTGCTCGGATCGCCATTCTGAGAAATAGAATCAATCAAATTAACGATTGTATGCCCATGAAAACTGATAGTCTTATCAAACATATCGTGGTTAAACATTTGGAGCTGATCAGGTATATAATTATTTAAATATTCCACATTAAAACAACCTGTTGAATAATAATCCATTTTTAGATTAACAAAAAGAGTAGATGAAATTTGGACTCCAGTATTTCTTCTTGAAATAATTGTTTTAATTCCACTTCTTGCGCTGGTACTATTCAGCGCAATTTTGGTAATTTTTAATAAAGCTGTAATTTGATTATTAGTTATTATTTTAATTGAAATAATTGGAATTGACTGACAGGCGTTGGAAGCCAGTGAAACAGTAGGGTTCTTAATGTTAATAACTTACGTCAGCGCAGTATTGTCATGTTTGTTTGCAAATTGTTTGATGGGCGAAATTTTATTGACAGAAGTAAGTATTAAATGTACTGAAATCACCAGACATCTGATAATTTTTAGATTTATTTTAAAAATAAGTACTCCAAAAATAATTCATAAAAATTGTTTTCAAAAATTTCTACGTGGAATTTTTTTGACAATTAAATGTTGGGTGGAATTGTAGAAATTGCCAGATGTCTGCTCATTTCAGTATCAAATAAAATATAAAATATGTAATGTTTTTTTTATGATTAAAAAATAATTCTGATACTTCGCACCAAGCACCAAAATTTACAGGAGATGTTCTACATTTGCAATTGGCAAGAAATGTCTCAAAAATCAAAACAATCCTGGCTTATTTGCATGGTGAGTGGTGCGAAAATTCCGATGCAAATAACTGCTGGAAAAATATATATTTTTTCCTTTAATAGTTTCACAGGGGTAAGTATTAATCTATTACCAAGTTTAGTAATTAATTTATTAATAATCAAATTTGTTTAAACTAGATACTACGAAGTTCAATGGCTTACGTTTCATTGCTGAGAACACTGACAGCTTGAAATTTTTAGTTTATATAGCCTGTTGTGTCGAAATTTGTGTATTTTCTTGAAAGTTTAATTTCAAACTAAGTAGTTATACTTGATGTAGATGAATAAACCCTTTTATTTTCAACATTTTATGATTATTTATTTTGTATTTTAATTGTTTGTTTAATTTATTACTGTAAAAATAATTTTATTCCGATGGCCATTTTGTGAATGAAGATAAAAAATATTTCAATGGTTTAAGTTGTCAGAAATTTTTTTTTAATCATTATAAATTGTGTCAGATATGAATTATCATTTACGATAAAAAATTTTCACTAGAAAATTGCAAAAGTGACATTTCTAAACACCAAAATTATTTTAAGGCTAAGTGCGCGTTTAAATTTTTTAAATAATAACAATTAACTTTAAAAAAGTGTTATTCATTAAAATAAGATTGATTTATCTAAAATAGAATAACTTAAAAAATAAAAAATAGCTTACTCACGAGAAAAATATCTCAGCGTAACCACAAGCATATCCATGACATAAGTTCGTGTTTATTGAAGAACAGGTACAAAAAATAAATGACACTTCTTCACAGGGTGTAAAGTAACTAAAGCTACTGTCTGCTCTAGAAACTGTGCAAGCCCTCTGAAAATGGAAAAAAATCATGCATGTGAGCAGAACAAACTCTATTATTCACATGCGATAGAATAAATAATAACCACCGAAAGTTTCATTATTAATTATTCCTAAATGTTTGCATCATGGAAGACAATATCTTACGGAACAAAGCTTCGTAAGGTGGAAAAATATTGACATTTTTGAGGCTGTCATTCGACATCTTCATATCGACATTACCAGTTATGGAGATAACCGTCGAGGTAAGCGATATTACCTCTGATTAAAAAAGGTACTCAAAATAATAAAATTTGAAATTGGATTATCAAATTAAGACATGTGATAATTTTGAAAATTTTTTTAACAAATAAATTGTAGCAAAAAAAAATTTATTCTAAAAATTGCATCTAAAGAATCTCTAAAAAAGTATAAATGCAATTTTTTTTAAATAATTTTCTTGATACAATTTTAAAGAAATTTTTAAAGAAACTTTAAAGAGAAATAAAGAAATTGTTAAGTGTCTGCAAATTTCAGTCATAATTTAAATTAAAATTACCTTTAATAATTTAAAATTTCTTTTCTTCTTTTTAAATTGAATTTATTGTACTAGTGTGTCAAGTGTCTAGAATTGATAAAATTAAAGGACATTAAAAAAATATTTCAGAAAAAATTCGAAGAAAATAAATTGATGATCAAAAAAATTGAAGGGCTAATCCAAATATTGAACGCATGGCCAATCAATCAGTCGAGAAAAAAACTGACAATGTTTATAATTTACCTGATTTATGAAACTATTTACCTGTCGATGGCTTTCAATGATGTAGTTTCAATTTTCGGAAATCTCCAGCTCATGACCGCTAATTTTTTGGGAACACTAGTGCAGCTGGTGATGGTGATTCGGTTGATATTTATCAGATTTTCAGATAAAATGAAGGAAATAATTGAAGAAATATTCGACAATTGTGTCGCTAAAAATTATCCAAGTAAAAGTGAAAAAGAAATTTATATTAAGTACAGCTTGAAGGCAAAAAACTTTTATCTTGTCACAATGACTTCTATCATTATTGCCGCGTTCGGTTTTTGTTTGCTACCTTTACAGAAGTATATCATATCTTGTAAGTTATAAAAGTATGTCTTGGTAAATTTTTATTTATTGCTCTAATATACATAGGTAAGTAGATATTATTTGATAAATTTGAAAAATTGAAAAAAGGGCTTCTGAACTATCCTGCAACTCTGGAAATTCCATACAGAGTTAAATTATTCAACTCAAACGGCACATCTTACAGAAAAACAATTTTGCTTTATATTTTTGAATTGCCACTACCTGTAACTGCAATAAGTTACATTGCGTCAATTAATTTGCAGTTTGTTATAATATCAAACATATGTGCGCGGATTGCCATTCTTGCAAATAGGATTAAAAATATTAATTGTAATAGAGACAATAAAACCGAGAGTCTTATTAAACATATTGTTCTCAAACATGTGGAGCTGATACAGTATGTAATAATTTATGATACTCAAGTTAGCTGACAATTTTCTATTTTTTAAATTTTTACACAGAAAAAAAAATTAATTTAAAAATTAATCAAGACGAAAAATTTTTGAATCAAGTTAAATTTACTTAAACCAATAAAAATTTCTTAGTTTAAACATTTTTTTATTCAAATCAAGAAGATAAAGTTCTTCAAAATTATTTACTTGATTAAAGTTTATTTTTTTTTTTCGGTGTATAATTAATTAATTACAATAATATAAATCCAAAAATTTCTTCTTTAATTTTCAAATGCAAAATTTTCTAGAAATTTTCTTCACAATAATTTCATCGTGATAAAGTTTTAAAAAAATTTTTAAAGTCAACTTTTGTGTCATAATAATTTAAGTATTTTATAATACTAAAATTAACAGACATTTGTAATTTTTATAAAAAAAATTTTACACCTATACTGGAAAAAAATGAACTTAAATTAAAATGAAAAATTCTTGAATCGAACAAAGTTAAACTAAGGAACATTTTTTAGTTGAAGAATTTTTTTATGCAAATCAAGAAGATAAAAAAAAATCAGATTTATTTATTTGATTTTTTCTTCGGTGTAGAAATTGAAAAAAATTTTTTTTTTCAAATTTATTTGTAAAAAAAATGTCAGCTGACTTGAGTATAACAAATATATTTTACAGCTAAACAATCAGACATTGAATAATAATTTTTTATTTTTAGATTAGTCCACAGAGTAAATGAAACTTGTACTCCAATGCTTTTTGTTGAACTACTAATTTGGATCCCACTGCTGGCTTTGGTATTGTTCAGTGCAATTGTGGTAATTTATTCAAAACTTTAAATTAAATTAATTGCAATATTTAATTTTACAATAAAATAAAATTGAACAGGCGTTAGAAGCTAATGAAACAGTAGCGTTCTTAATGTTATTTAACTACATTTGCGCGGCACTGGCTTGTTTGTTCGCGAATTGTTTAATGGGCGAAATTTTGTTGACAGAAGTAAGTATCAAATGTACTAAAATCACCAGACATCTGATAATTTTTTTTCTTCGCATCAAGCACAAAAATTTACAGGAAACGTTTTATGTTTGCAAATGGGAGGAAATGTCTAATAAATCAAGAAGATCTTGGCTTGTCTGCATGTCAAGTGGTGCAAACATTCCGATGCAAATAACAGCCGGCAAAATATATATTTTTTCATTCAACGGTTTTACAGGGGTGAGTATTAATTTTATTTTTTTTGTACCTCTTACCTTATACCTTTGTAATTTAATTATTTGACAGCTGAATTTATTTATGTAGATATTACGAAGTTCAATGGCTTACGTTTCATTACTTCGGACACTGACAGCTTAAAGTTTGTAGGTTATCAATTCTTATAGCCTGTTGTAGATATTTGTATGCTCCATTCATCTTCATGATGAATATATATAATAATATTATTATTATTATTCAATAAAATGTTTTAATTTTAACATAAGATTATTACTTTATATTTAATAATTCAATTTTTTTATTAATAAAATTAATTGTTTCAAAAAAACTGTTTGAACGGAATTGTCTCACTCTACAAGTCGCGACAAACTGATTCACAGGTTATCATTTTAAGTTAATACGGAAATTATCATGATACTGAAGTTAGCTGACAGTTGTCAAGATTTTTTAAATTTTATAACCAAATTCGAATTTCATAAATTTGAATTCTTTTCAATCAATATTTTTAAACAGGAATCTTGAGATCTATTGACATTTTTAAAGATATAAGCTCACCCCGACATTACACTCATCAAGACCTTTCATTTAAATAGCGACATCTATTTTTCATATATTTATATATATTATATATATGTAGATATGAAAAATTTATCAAAAATGCATGTGGGTAT